ACCATTATGCAGTAATATTAAATCACGGCAAGATATTTATGTTGGTATTATGGTTGTCTCCAGCTAAAAGTTTAACATTGAATTACGTATTCTTTCAATGCATAATTATGCGATTCACGTATTGTCACATAAGTCTACAGTGAATAGGCAGTTATTAGTCTTTTAATATTCAATAATCTTTTGTACCATAATTTTTGCATCTTTGGAAAACATTCTTTCCGACTGAGAAACGAACGATGATTTATCTAAAAACTATACATCAACAAACTTTAATTATAATTAATATGGAGCGTTGTCTACAGCAACATTAATTTTTACTTTAGATTAGATATTTTAAAATCGTTTTTTAACGAATCTGACAATTCTACATTCTCGATTCTCCTCACATACTGAAACAAGTGAACGGCTACAAATGTAATCATAAATATCTCAACCGAGCGAGGATCTGTTCGAGAACTCGTTTCGGTTATTTTAAAAATGTAGCCTTATCAGAAATTACGGTAGGCGAAGATACGCCTGTATACAATTATAATTCTTAGCGATCGTGTTCCTTACTTTAGTGCTGATTATATTGTAAAATAATTAACTGCGTTTCTTATTTCTCGGTCTAAAACGTAGTTTTCTCATTAGGCTACACATGGTATGTCCCTATTACAATATTGAACAGTTATTTGTATTAGGTACAAGAAATGAAAGTATCTTTTTTCCTCTCACGGGCGGAAATAACCACCAAGAGAAATAAAGATACTTTCCTGTTAAATTGAAGTATCTTGTACAGGGTGCTGCATTTTGGATGGCCAAAAAAATAATCTCCGAAATTAAGAGGTTTAGCCAAAAACGAGTAATACATTCTGGGGCTCATTTTTTGAGGTTAAAACCGCATCCCGCTATCGTCTTTTGTTTTCGACTTATAGACAAAAATTGACATTTTAGTGAAATCTGAAAAAAATCATATCTTCGTTATTATAGAAGACACAGATTTGAAATAAAGACATTATACAGACACTTTTTTACGTAGAATTTAATAATGTAGTTAACAATTTTTTTCAGTGGTTTGTTTAGCCGTAATAAAATAAAGTTGTATTTTTTTAAATGGAAATCATATATGGCTATGTCATTTTTAAAAAGCTTGTTTTTTTCTTATCTAAAAAATATATATTTGTAACAAATTATTATAATACATTTTTAGCAAAAAATTATCTTTGATTTTTGTTCGCAGTTGGCCATGAAAAAATGTTGCATCTTCAACTAAAAGGATATAAACTATATTATTCAACCAGTGTCACTAATAAAAGAGTTTTCTGTGTACTATGTAATGAAAAAAAATGCAAAATAAATTGTAAATCAACTTATTGGCGACTAATAACATTTCTTTGTTTTTAAACAAGCTAACATTACCATTGTAACTTCTAATGATACATAGAGTGTTGTAAAAAAAGCCGCTTTAATTCTTCAATAAAATATATTTTATATGACACAAAAATGACCCAAATTCTGTCTATGTGGAACGTTATCCTACCTCCATTAGACCAAGAAAAAAATGTTTTTTTTAAATTGTGTTGACTGTTGACACATTTGTTTTTCCTATTTTTGGATTTTTTAAAAATATGTAATAATTTTGTTCTGAGGTGCTAGCATATTTGTTCAATACTTCTAACGTATCGTATTTTTTAAATTTTTATGATTTTATCTATTTTTTCATTTATTTTACAGTTCACAAAACTCTTATTGATTATTATTTACACATTTGGAGTGAAATAGTTTTTCCATGGCCAACTATGATCAAACAAAAAATGTATTTCATTTTTTAATTATAATTATAAAAAAAATATTCTGTTAGAAATATATATTTTTTAGATTAGAAAAAATAAGCTTTTCAAAATTGTCATAGGCGCCTATAATTTCCATATAAAAAATACAAGTTTATTTTATTACGGCTAAACCAATAACTGAAAAAAATTGACTACATTATTAAATTCCTCGTAAAAAAGTGCCTGTGTAATGTTTTTATTTCAAATCCGTATCTTCTATAATAACGAAGATATGAATTTTTTTAGATTTCGCCAAAATGTCAACTTTTGTATGTAAGTCGAAAACAAAAGACGATAGCGAGATGCGGTTTTAACCAATATTATTTTCTCAAAAAATTAGCCCCAGAATGTATCACTCGTTTTTGGCTAAACCTCTTAGTTTCGGAGATTCCCTATTCGGACATCCCTGTACACTGCATCTGTTAAATTCGATAAAGTTTCAAGCTTTGAATGACAAGAATTTGCGAAAAAATATGTTTATTAAAATTTCTAGTGTCGTAAATGTTGACTAACTAGGTGTTAATGACGAATTACTGACACAAATTCATAACTGGGAAATATTTTTTATGATTTGTTTATAAACAAATAACTCAGTGTTTAGTGACGTACTTAGATACAAATATTTTTATAAAATTACCACAAATTACTTTGTGCAAATTTCTAATTTTTTCCTCAGCCCAAATTAATTAATAAAAATTGGTGACAATTTTTTGCTACTATTAGTATACCTGCTATAATTATTTTCTACACACAGAGAGCGTAAAAATCGAGAAATCTCGTATGCGGTAACTAAAGCATCGAGATAATGAAGCTATCAGGCGGCCTATAATCAAAACGCCGGCCCTGCGGCTTGGCCCTCCCAGAATCTCTCGCGTTTTCTGTGCCAAAATGTGCTTTGCCACCAACATACAACCACAAAACGGTCATTATTTTTAACCTTCATCAGTATTAAATGACCAGAAAATTCGAGCTACACTACTCTAATTAAGTACCTACATGTGTTATTTCTTAATTTAATGGAGTTTTACGTAAAAATGTTTGCAAACAGATGTGTAAGAATTTTTTCCGAAAACACCACCTAACGACATTTACGGGTAATTTTCAATAAATGATAATTCTTGCATAAAAGCCGAAGGCGCTCTAAAAAACTCAATTTACGGTTTCTGCGTGTGAGGTCCGGAATTCAAATGGTGATGGTACCGCCCTCAACACCTTGTGGTAGATGACGCCATCTCGAATTCATTAAATTATAGGTATCTCCATATTTTGCTAACGTGGAAAACTAGCTCAAGTCTAATTTTCTCACAAATTAAAACATAATTATCATATTTCGTATTTCAATAACACAAATACCTAACTTGTTGAAACAAAGCAGAAGCTGAATAATAAATTATGTGTAAAAAATCAGTACGAAAAAAATAAATAGTAGATTACACACCGAGTGGGAGGTGCAATAAGTCGAGGTACGATCACCAAGGTTTGTATCCCATTTTATTCACAATCAAAAAGCCAATAAAGAATTTATTAAAGTTTGAAAAACTTGACAGTTTAGGTTGAAAAGTGGTCATTTTCTTATCAGTTTTCAAGTTTGAAAGTGGCCATTTCCCAGCCTGAACTGTCATATTACATATCGACTGATCACTTCTCAACCTATCAATTGTTAAATGAAGATGAAATGTCATACTTACCAACTTTTCACATGTAAGGAATTAAATTTTAGTAGCTAATGTCATTCCCTAATATACCCTCTTGTCAAAATTACACGGGGAAACTACTTTTTTTGACAAATGAAGTTTTAAAATGACATTACCTACCAAAATTGTATGCTTGCCATTGTACCTAATTTGATTATGATTGTGAATACACAAAAAATCGGAAAATGTCAAAGCAAAAAATTTAAGATTTTTATATTTATCCATAGTTTGAACATGGCTTAATTCTAAAAGGTTAAATTAGAACTAACAGTTAATCTGTAGTACAGTTGTAGACAAAATACTTTGGTCGTCATTATCACTTGAGTGACATTAAATTGTAAAGCATGTTTTAGAACTGTTAACCTTATTTTTAGCTACTGTCAATCATAGTTGTATGTATGTACAGTTACGGAATTAAAATTTCGGGCAGTATTTTTCTGTCACTTCAAAAAGTTCACTGTAAACTACCTTTTACTGTCATCATGACTGACATTTGACAATTAAACATTTTTGTCAGTGACGCTATTTTTTAAGTCAAAATGACATAAACATGACAAGAGTAAAAAATGTGGTTATTAATGTAAAGCTTGTTTTAGAGTTTACATTGTGAAAATGACAATACTGCCCGAAATTTTAATTCCGCAACTGTACATATTTTTGCTAGGAAAATATAATATCTGTTATTAATTTGAAATTGTCATTCATTTTAACGTTAAAGCTTGAATTACATTAAAGTGTCAGAAAAGTGACGACCAAAGTATTTTGTCTCCAATTGTACTCACTACTATTGAGTTTTCAGGTAAGTACTCAACTAATTGGTTATCTTGATTTGCATTTGATGCTCTCAGCATTTAAGTGTGGCATTGAATGGGACAGATGACAAATTGACAACTAAATTGACAAGGGCAAAACCTGTGTCAATCTAAAGAAAATTCTATTTTCCGTTTTTATTGCAACCAACTGTACAATTAATTACACTTGAGTGCAGAAAAACGCAAATTGATTTTTTATAATGTAATTTGGTCTGTTTTTTGACGTTGTCTTTGTTACAATTCACAATTTCATAATTCATAATTTCATAATTAATTCGTTTTTAACACTGACTACCTATGACACTGCACTGTCAAGACCACCAAATAAAGTATTTCCTTTGATAGTTTTCTAAGCTATTTGAGAACAACCTTTTTCACACTATGTAAATCTCTGAAAATTTTGACAATTTTGTTTTTGACAATTTCCATTTTTTTTGCACTCCAGTGTACATGTTTGATCCATTAGATATGTAAATAAATATTATGCCTGAGGGATTAAATTATTACAAATAAATAATACATAGTACTTAACTTATTAAGTCAATTAAGCGTACTAAACCTACTTAGTTTTTCTTATTATACGTTGGTTACGCAACGCAACTGTGCAAGATGGGTTGCATAACAATCTAAATTAGTAAATTATTTTGTTGTAAAAACTTAAAAATAATAAATGCCGATATAAATTTATGTCGCTTATCTGTTTTTTACGTTGTATTACTTCGACAACTAACAGTACTTCAATTTGAAAATGCTATTTGTTTGTCTCAAGGTTAGGTAAACTCAAGGATGTATTAATTAGGTGTTTAGTAGAGGTGGCACACAACATGTACAAAATCCAGCGCTCATGTAAGTAGATACATTGATGTGATTGTTTTACACACTACTAAAGACAATCTATTTTATTTGCTCGACGAACATTAACTATATTGTTATTTGTAGTTAAACACATAAGAGGTGTAGGCATAGGTGTGCATTATTGACAATAATTATTATGGTATGCGCATACATGTGTTACACACCTACTTTGGATACCGTAATCACGGTAAACACCGTCGATGGGTTTGCTGATAAAGTACTGATAATGATATTATAGGAACCAAAAATGTATAACGATCGAGTCAAATTGTAGGGTTTTGTTTAAAAGTGTCTTCTGACTAAATTATTTGTTATTGTTTCAAATGTATAGTTGGGAACTAATAGTTTTGATATTATAAAATGTCATTGAGGAAACATTCGTCAACAATCAGGGTAAATTTCAATTTTTCACAATTTTGTGTTAACATTTCATTAATTGAATTATTTTTGCAGACGATGGAAAACAACGAAAGTGGAAAGTCGCAAAGGACGTATTTACAACACTTGAACAACGTGATTAAGCGTGTGACTTTTGGTGTACTCATGATTTCGGGATTTCTTATAATAATTCTCATAGGCCCGATTATGTTAATGTTTTTGGCGTTTATTATTCAAGTTTTGTGTTTCAGAGAGATCCTTAAAATCGGTTACGACAGTAACAAACTTCCTCACAATTTACCATATTTTAGGTTTCTGTGTTGGTATTTTTTAATGGTGGCGAATTATTTCTTTTCTGTTGAAACGATAGCACCACACTTTCAGGATTATTATACGAAATTTTATAATTTAAAAATTCTGATAAGTTATCACAGATTTATTTCATTTTGTGCTTATTTCGGAGGAATAGTCCTTTTTGTCTTAAGTTTAGTTAGGAAATATGATTTGAAACAGTTTAAGATTTTTGCGTGGACTCACACTCTGTTGATACTCATTGTTCTTCAGTCGTACTTGGTAATTGATAACATGTTTAATGGTTTAATTTGGTTGATTCTCCCAGTTTCTCTAGTGATTTTAAACGATATTTTTGCGTACTTGTTTGGGCGATTGTATGGCAAAACGCCGTTAATAAAATTATCACCGAAAAAAACATGGGAGGGTTTTATTGGGGGTGTTGTAGGGACTTTTATTAGCGGTTTTATTTTATCAAATATTATGTGTCAGTTTAAATATTTTGTTTGTCCGATTGAATATTACGAAACCGAGAGTGGTGTAGCATTTGATTGTACTCCTAGTTATTTATTTAATCCGAAAAAAATTTCGGTGTGGATTATTTCGTTAGATTTTTACCCTTTCACATACCACTTTATTGCACTTGCTTTATTCGCAAGTATTGTTGCTCCTTTTGGGGGATTTTGTGCGTCGGGATTTAAACGAGCTTTCAAATTAAAGGATTTCGGAGACGTGATTCCAGGACATGGCGGGATTATGGATCGATTTGACTGTCAATTTTTAATGGCCACTTTTGTAAATGTCTACATATTTACATTCGTCAAAAGTCCGAGTGTTGAACTGATTTTTGAGAAAATATTGTATTTAGATGAAAGCAAACAGCTGCAATTTTATTATCTCTTGAGAGATTTCCTACAAGCAAGCGAATTTGATAATTCTATCTGATTTCTTTAAGTGTGCAGAATAAATGTGTTTTTTCTTTATTTTGTTTTTTTTATGAAAAAGTCACCGTTCCTTTATGCCAATTTGTTGGGAGGTTGTAGGAGTAAGCTCCGCCTTTGATTGTTTCCCCGCCTCTCATCTAAGACCCAGATTCGGCTTGTTAATACCGTCAAAATAAAAAAAACCTACCGTTTTGTATAATCATGATATTTTCCAACTGAAATTCACTTTGCTTTTAATTTAATTCACATTTTGAATGAAATTCGTGTTAATTAGCCTTTTTAATAAGTTTTCCCTTTCGTGCCTCAGAATAGAATAAGTGCAAAAGCCGCCCCACAAAGACATAACAAACAAGTAGTTAGTGACATTCGAGGTGCAACGAGTGCTGTCGGCGGCTTAATCAATGGAGGTAGTAATTAGACGTTCCCCACTTGCTTTGTCGGCCCCTAAAGTACCAATACCCCTCTCCAAGGCACCCTACAGTCTGCGCGAGTTTCCTCAATCTCATCTCTTCCCTACATGTCTTCATTCTGATTACTCTCCCGATAAAAGTAGGTGATTTTATTTCGGTTACGAGAATGACTGACTTTCGGTTAAGCTCGAGTGTGTAATCGGTTATTTTTTAACAAGGCTTGAAAGCTTTTTAATGCAATGCGCCAAGAATGAGCAAATCTTTACCAGTTGTTCTGGCCCTGTTTCTTACCGGATTTTTTTCCAGGTAAGTGACGTTTATTTTTCTATACTTGCGATTTAAAACCTGATTTTCACATTTTTTTTCTGCTACCAAAATGTACCAAAAATTCTTTGTTTGTTAATGTCAATATTTATGAACGATTTTGTCTAAAAAAGGATAATGGATAACACACGACATTAATACAAAGTGGTTATAAATGATTTTCATCTAGCCAGCTGTGAATTTTCCATGTAAAATAAAAAATGCCGCTTTACGAAAATAGGGGTACCTACTTGTTTTAACTCAAAATTAAAAAATCGCCGTTTATAAGCGTGCACTTCGAAAATTGACTTCGATTATAAACTTGTTTACTTCCAAAGTATTATTATTGGAAATTAGTTGAAACAATAAAAGTTTAATTAACAACAATTTATTATTAATTAATAAGTGACACTAATGACAGAACTAGAGCTTTCAAAAAAGTAGAGCGGCACAAATAAAGTTACATGCAAAAAAAATTCCATGAAAATCATTTATAACCACTCTGTACAACTCTTTTTGCTATTTCGTCGTTTTGATGATGTTCTGATATGGGCAACCAGATATACGCACAGAAACACAAATCAATGACAATAACTTTAACATGAAATTGGTTTTGATTTGGAATTAATTTGAAATTTTGTCACCAGAATAAAAGAGTTTAATAAAATAATTTTGTAATTAACTCGTTTGTTAATAGGTGATTAATAATCTCAAGTATTAAAGGCTCTTACTACAGTCTAGATTATTAAACACCTTCATTAACAAACTAGTTTATTAAATAACTGTTGTTATTGTTGCTATGTATAAAAAAAATCAACAATTAAAAAGGATTATCTACTTTCATTTAAAGAATTTATAATTCAAAAAGTAAAATGTATTTTGTAATGCATTTAACCTACAGGTGCGCCAGAACTCGCGCCCCAGAGAAAAATCCCATGTAATAAGGTAAGATATCAGGAACATAGAAAAAATCTTAAAAAAATTCTACCTATAAAAATTTCGAAGTTATGAGTGTTTAGGTATATTTTGCACTTTGACTTTAGTTATTTCTGTTGCAAAAATAATTTTCCAAGTTTTTTTGCAACAGGCTATTAGAAGAGGAAACAAGGAAGTTATTTGTGGCTTTTAAAAATGTCAAATGTCAAAATTTTTTGACAGATAGAATTTTTTATACATTTTTTCCATGTTTCTGGTATATTATCTTACTTGAAATTTTTCTCTGCGAGTTCGACACACCTGAATTAGTTATAAATTTAATGGTTCTCAAATTGGTTTCATGTGTTATAAAAGTATACAGGCTGTTTCAGAACTCGCACCTCAGAGAAAAAGCCCAGTAAAATAAGATACCAAGAGCACGAAAAAAAATGTTTAAAAATTCTAATTGTTAAAATTTTTTGACATTTGACCTTTCTTATGTCTAATTATTGTTTGATCTTGCATGTTTTTCATAATTATATACAGGGTGTCCCACGAATAATAATGAGCCTGTAAATATTTTGGAAGCAAAGATAACGTGGATATTAAAATATTTAGTTTTAATAAATTAAATATAGTGACCAAACAGCACACTTCAACTTTAATTTATAAAAAGTCAAACCTTGCAAAATTTGGTAAGAATTACCAAAATTCTGTCGAAAAGACCAACAAGATTCTCATTTATGAAGAATGTTTGAAAAACGCTTCGCACATTGCACGTTTCTATCCAACGCGATATCCAAATAGACTTTCTAATTCCGGAGTGGTCATTTTGACTGATAGAAATTTGTTAAAAATAAAAATACGATTACTATGTTTAACTAATTAAAACAAAACATTTTAATATCCACGTTATCTATGAAATGTAATGTTGGTTGCGTTCAAAAAATTTCACTTTCATTATTACTCGTGGGACATCCTGAAGAAATTTTTTAAATATTTTTTCCATGTTGTTACCTTTCTTGACATTTTTTTCTGAGCCTGAGTTTTCAAACACTCTGTATGGTGCATAAATAATAAATAAATTACATATAGGGAAATAGTAGATTATATATCGAGATGAGAGGTGCTTCATCCAAAGCGAAATTTGATGCCCAAGACGCGAAGTGCTGCGGTTAGCAATAAAGAATTTATCACGTTTTGAAAGCATGATATATGACAGTTCAGGTTGGAAAGTGGTGTTAATATTAGATATTTAATTTTGAATTAAATTATTATTTTGGCAGATTAGTGCAATAGATTTAGAATCTGTTTATGTAATTTATATTACAAATAATATTGGTTATAAAGGATTTAATTATAGTATTTTTTTCATAATTTTTTGATGAGCTCGGAACGCAACTTTAACAATTTAGTTAAACAAAAGTACTGACTAAAAAACAATCTTATTTAATTAGAGGTCATTTTTAGATCATAATCTTTAATTAAAAAAATTATCATGATGGGTTGTCGTTTAAAATTTTTTTTTTCCAAAACTCGAAAACTAAAAGAAATTTCGAAAATTGTTATTCCTGATAAAAGGTCACATTTTAGTTGTACTTTACGCTACATAGCACTAATTATTTTTTTCGTAAAATGCTTAGTTTACTAAAAAACGCTTGGTTCCATACTTTTTATTTACCTCGTATATTAAAAAACTGTATCATTTATTCTTTAGTTGATTTAATAATAATAATACCGGATAACTATTAATGTTTGTGACAGAAACACTGAATTATTGGCAGTCGCCCGTCGCAAATGAATGACAATTGCCAATAAAAATTTGACGTTTGAAATTGAAAGTAAATGCTGCCAAACTAAAATTTTAAATTTGACACCACTTTGCAGTAAAAAATCACAATCATTTACAGTCGCACGGTACATACTTAATCTAGAAATAAGTGCTTGATAAATAAAAAAAATTAAACAGTTGTTAACTTAAGAATGACGATTTCAGTTTCGAACAAGAAAAATATTTGCCTCATCATAGAAAAACAGTCTTTCAGTCCGACAACACCATATGTAGAACAACTCCGGGATTTACCAAACTTCAGCTTGAGCTTTGTTATCGCTATCCAGGAGAAATGGTGGCAGCTCTTCACGGAATCAAACAAGCAGTGAAAGAATGCCACTATCAGTTTTTTAATTATAGGTGGAATTGTTCATCGCTTTCGATGAAAACCAAAAATTCCTACACCAATAGCATTTTTAAAAAAGGTAGGTTTTCACTTTTTTACTTTGTTTTTAAAATCTGAACAATCAACGCAAAGAATGGCTTTCTGTTGCCATCCAGGTGTCAACGCTGTAGGTATTGCCATGACGGCTCTATTCAAGTAATAGTTAAACTGTCACTAAATGGTCATAAGTGATTGGTATGATTCGATTCGCCCCTGCTGGGGCCAGAATTTCACAATGGACAAATGACATCTATTAGAGTAGCTTTTGTTGTGATTTTTTCGCGCATCACCAATCGAGAACGACAGGAAAAAGGGATGCAGGATTGGTTCTCTTTCACAAATTTGACAAAGAAACTTGTATACGCTTGATTATTTTTCAGCAAAAATTAATGGTAATAATAAAGTTTTTTGTTGAAAAAGCGCTGAAAATTCAGAATGTATTCCCACATGATGTGTAATGGCCCCGCATAGTTGCGGTCTTGCGACTTGTACTTGCGGCCAATGCAAATTAATATTAACCACTAAACGTAGATAATTTTACAACTCATTATTGTCGATTAGCAACATAAAATTTGCCACAGCTCATTGCATTTAATTACAACTATCATATCTTGTCTGTTGTGCCAAATGGAGGCGCAGTTCTAAGCAAATTGCGTTATAATAGCTAATTATTTTGTTATAAATGTATGGCAAGTTTTTGAAAAGTGTGTAAATTTATTTTTTTTGCACCAATTATAATACTAAATTAATGTCTAGTATAGTATAAAATACAGTTGGTAACAGTAACTTTCTAGCAAAAGCAACAGAAGCTAATAATTACAAGTTACAATTTTTTGGTATTTGCCTATTGGAATAAAACGTATAATCGAGGGTATCGTTGAACCGTATCTGTTATAAAAGAATCTGTGGGCGATGCTTGGTAGTGAAGCGACAAAATCGTAAATTATGTAAAATTATGCAGTGTTAAAAGCATCGCGTATTGCTTTCAGTTAATTTATTACATTAGTACATAACTTAAAATGCAGTTTTTTAATAGGTTTAATTGCAGCACCTTTCAAACACATATTCAACAGTTAAACAATTTTCAAAAAATGAATTATTTCCAGAAATTTACTAATTGTTAAATCTAACAAATAAATACAATTTTAATTAAAAATAGATACATAATTTGATACTTAAAGACACGTTAACTAAATTTGATACATATTTCTGTTATAAAATATCCCTTTAACTAAAGGGACTTTATGAAATTGAGTATTACTGAATCATAACTAACTAAACGTCACAATGGTTTGGTAAATAATTTTTTATTCAACAAATAAATAATAGTAATTTTTATCACAAGGCAAGAAACTGTCATTGTGTAAGTACTTGCAAAACAGTTTCTCACCAATTTTAAACTGCCTCAAAAGTTTAAAAAAACTTAAATAGTTTGCACTAGAGAACTTACATGTGTTACATGAGACCAAGAAACTCAAAATTAACTCTAAATTAATTCCAAATTAAAAAAAAATTAGGTACTACACGAAATATACAGTCGCGAAAAACTATTCTTTTACGTCAGAAATTTTGCAATTAATTTTTTATTATTGATTTTTCAGTTTCAAAAAGTCAAAAATAGTTTAAACGTTGATTGATTTTCTTTTATTGTTGACATTATGGCTATATTATGGCACATATTTCGAATTATACAAGAATAAGTTTGTTAAAAAATTACATTGATATTACATGCCACTGTATTTGCCATGAAATCAAATCGATTGTCATTTAAGAAATGTCACGAGAGATGTTGACGAAACACCAATATTGCCAACATTTGGTAATTTTTTTGATGGCCTAGTGCCTCAATAGGGCTGTTTTCGGACGATTTTGACGTTTCTGGACGAAGGACCAAAAAAAAATTATTTGTGAAATAACTGACAATTTATTTATTGTTGGTAAAACCGATCCAAAGTCTGTTTTTTTTTAATTGAAATTACCAATGAGTTAAAATATGAAAAACTGGTTGCAGGTTATCTCCGTGTTTTTGATTTTGTCCCTAGAAATATTGTTAAAAAATTATGATCATGTTTTCGTGTTCAGATGTTGTCAAACTTTTTTTTTCAGTGCTATTTAATAATACAAGGTGTTTTATAAAAACACCAAAAAAGTAAGATAAGATACCAAAAACATTGAAAAAATGTTTAAAAAAGTTCTGTCAAAAATTTTCGCCATTTATTTTTTGCCATTGTACATTTCTTACGTCTTTTGTTACCGATGATCTTGTATATAGGGTTATTCATAAATATGAAGCAATATTTGAACCTCAAAAATGACCTATAATTTTAATAATAACTCGTGTTATTATAAAATTAACATCATTTTATAGGTCATTTTTGAGGTTCAAATATTGCTTCATATTTATGAATAACCCTGTAGGTATGTTTTTTCATATTTATTTAGTAAATGTACAAAAACTTTGCCAATAAAAGCTACAAATAAGGTTTTAGACATAGTTACAATTCAGGATACAGTTTCTTTGTTTTTTCTTCTAACAATCTGTAGCAAAAGAACATGTAAAATTATTTTTCCAACAGAAATAAATAGGGTCAAAGTGCAAAATTTAAACATCCGTAATTTAAAAAATCTTGTAGATACTTTTTTTCTATTTTTTGTGTTTTCATAAAACATCTTGCATTGATAGAAACAAACTGCAAGTAAGTATAATGTGAGCAAAAATGAGCTTTTTGCTATAAAAATTTTAATGAAAAGAAAATACATAAGAAAGCAATTTTGCAAAAAATACATGAACATTGTCGATAAATTTTGTGTAATTTGTTTATTCTTCAGCTTTAGTTTCAAGATTATTACTTTTTCAAATCGTTTTTTAAAAAAAAATATTCTTGCTAAAAATTAGAGAATGTTAGCATATCTGCATTCTAAGTTTTAACGATGGTTTTTTCTGACTTTTTATACTTTTTATCTCCCAATTTCCAAATGTTTTCATCTAAAATTTCTTATTAGACGATTTTTTTGCTGGCGTTTCAAATTAAATCGAAAATTACCACAAATGGATTTGCTAAGGGTGGCAATGTTAAGACTGTTTGAAATTTCTATTAAAAAACAGATTATACCCATAAGGATTGTGAGTACTGATTAGAATAACGATCCCTATAAACGTCGCAAAGTGCTGTTGAGAGTCTTCAGTCAATGTGTCTACAGCTTGAAGAAGTCAGAAGTCAGAAACCACCTGCAATCTGCATTATCGTTATTTAATTTATATGGAAATGGTAGACAGTCTTCGTGCCGACAATTATGCCATTCCTGGCAATATTAGATAATCAGTGCCGGTGGTCGCGACTCAAGACAGTTGAAGAGACATTATCGTTTGAAACTAAACCGATTCAAATAATATTGTTCTTCTTAAGAGTCTTCGTATAAGGCAGCGAGGTAATATGCGAAATGTAGGTTTGTAATTTAGATGCGATTTATTTACTCGTCACGAGCATGGCGACATTACGCAAAAACCAAACTGAGACACTGTAGATTGACGCACGACTCGCTTGCGAATCGCTGCCATTACCATTTCAAAACAAAAAAATCCCTTTTGAGTAATTCCATGCCAAAACGAGCATTTTTAAAACTCATTGTTTCTGATTTTCGTAAATTTGAGATATGTTATAGAACGTGTAAAAATAAGTGAACGTATTTCACAGTTTTTTATTTTTTCAATGTATGTTGAAAAAACAGGGAAGTACAAAATTAAGTATCTCGGAGCAAAAAGAATTTATATCTAAAGAACAAATCAACATATTGAAACAATTTTTTTTAATAATAGATGTAAATAGGTACATTACGGACGTGATAAAGCTTGTTATTAACAAATAATTTGAAGATATATTGTTTAAACAAAAAAATAAACAATTACGCAGGTTTTTAAAATTCTCAGAAAAATTATGTAAAAACTCTCACATTTTTACTATGTCACATAAGTTTCAAGACGGACGTTTTAAAGATGGCTGAAAAAAAATTTTTTGAGAGCGTTTCATAGTGCATGATCGCCTAAGATCGCCTGAAAGTAGCGTTTCCTTAGAAATTAAATAGAAAAATTACCAATTACCGTCACTAATAAACTGTTCTAAAGAAAACTCATAATTTCCAATAACTTATTAACATTTATTTTTCAAAAAATATCAATAATAAAAACAAATTCTTTGGTTGAGTAAATATTTCACAGATTACGTTTTGCTATACAGGGTGTGTCAAAATTTTTGGACCAACGTGACATGGCATGTAAGGTAAGATACCAGGAACATGAATAAAATGTTAAAAAAAATTATTTTATGAAATTTGACATTTTTTATGTCTATTTAATGATGTTAAGGATCTTGTATATGTTTTTTTGATAATTATTTGATAAAGGTACATTAATTTTGCCAATAAAATCCACAAATAACATTAGACAGAGTTATAATTTAGGATTCAGCTTCCTTGTTTCCTCTTCTAATAGCCTGTAGCAAAAAAACATGGAAAATTATTTTTCCAACAGAAACAAATAGAGTCAAAGTGCAAAATTTAAACCTCATAAGTTCGAAATTTTTATAGATATTTTTTTTTACATTTTTTCCATACTTCTGATATCTTACCTTACATGGCATGTCACGTTGGTCCAGGCCTTTTGACACACCCTGTATATCTAATCGACAAGTTGAAAGACTGCGATTTTTTAAATGATTGTTTTAGTCAAGCGAAGCTCATAAAAGGTACGCAAAATCTACATACTTTTATTCTAATATCAGAAAATAGATAAAAAAATATAGAGAGTACTCCTCCTCAACCGAGGAATTTGTATTTATTATTGATATTTTTTGTAAAAATAAATGTTAATAAGTTATTGGAAATTATGTGTTTTCTATACAACAGTTTATTAGTGACGATAATTGATAATTTTTCTCTTTGATTTTCAAGGAAACGCTACTTTCAGGCGATTTTATAAGGGGATCCACTATGCAGCGCTCTCAAAAAAAATTTTTTTCAGCCATTTTTAAAACGTCTTGAAAC